GTGTCTAAGCAAGGAAGGGAAGGGATCTGAGACACACAGACTGATCTAAAGAGATCCCAATTGACCCTACCCACCGAGTAATACGGGCGGCAAGCTGTTCGACCTGAGAAACGACCACGGACTTTAATGACTACAGGGAAGTGGTCACTGCCATAATGGTAGTCACACACCTCCCAGAAGCACTGAGCGGAAAGATCTTGGGAGACTATAGTTAGATCGAGAAGGGAACGACTAGACAGATCTAGCGAACACCAGGTACAGCTTCCATCGTTCAGTACAGAGAAAGGGAGGTTGGTTACTGCTCTCTCAATCTTTCTTCCTTCAACATTAACAGAAGTGGAGGTACCACCCCACAAAGGGCTTTTACCGTTGAAGTCCCCGCAGATCACCATAGATTGAAACCTGAAACAGGTCCGGAAAAAGAGGGACCAAAAGTCCGGATCCGTGTAACCACTACTACAACGAGGAGGGCTATACACAGAAAAGACAGACAGGTACTTTCCTTTAGGAAAAAGAAGTTGAAGAGCTACAAACTCCACTGAGTTCTGACGGCAGACATTACAGAGATCAGGAAGGTCCAGCAGACGGAACCTTATATGTTTAGCAACTACAATTGCGACTCCACCTCCGTGTCTATTGCGATCACGAGAGATGACCTCGTGATTTGCAAACGTCACGATAGACTTGTCATCCATATAGGTTTCACAGAAGGCCGCCACTTCGGCTCGAGTATCTTGGAGCAGAAGTCTAGCGGCATCCAGGTTACGAACCAAGGAGCGACAGTTCCATTGGACCACAGTAATGGAACACAAGGACGTCATTTCAGCGTACGCAATTAACGTTAAACCTTTATTAAATTCCCTGAGAGGGAGGACACTACCTCCTTTATGACATTTTGCATGTCATTTTTGCTAAGTTTAATGTGATCGAAAGGTTTTGAACCGTCTTTAAATCTGTTTAAGATATTTACAATATTTTCTTCAACTGAGCTAACGTTAACCAAAAAGGGGAGTTTTTGTCTATTTTTTGACCGAGTAAGGTCATGACGAGGCAGCAAAACGTTTGACTTGCTCTGTCGGACATCCTTGTTTCCACCACTAGTACCAACAGGAGGGGGAGACGTTCCCACCCCCACCACATCAGCGTACGACGAAGTTTGCAGGGGTGGACCCCCAGCAGAAAACCGGAAAGGGCCGCCGCCTTCAGTCGGCCAGAACTTCGCCAGGGTGGGAAGCGGCACCGCAGAGCCGCGATGGAAGGTCCTCCCATCCGGAACCCGCACCCCGCCTCCCTCATATCCGCCGCCTCTTTGAAAGAGAGGTCTCGATAGGCCATTATTTTATTTATCTCGCGTTGTCTTTTAAATACAGGACACTCCATCGCGGAGGCCTGGTGGGAGACGTCCCTCGACTTCGACCGGATACAATTTATGCACTCTTCTTTAGTCGCTGTACACGAAGACCTATGATGACCACTCCCACCACACTTTTCACAGACGCGCTTGTTCTCATCTGAGGACTGTTTACACGCGAATTTGGTATGACCAAAACGCTGGCAAAAATCACATCTCCTAACTTTGTAGATATACGGTACCAACTGAAGCCTCTTGCCAAAATACAGGCAGGAATTAGGAACGCACGGTGCACGGAACCTCAAGATGAACTGGTTAGTACTCACATACACCGGTGCCTCGTCGCCGCCACCTCCAGTTCTGCGAGTAATCCGCATAGCCTCGAACGGTGGAGTCCACTCACCCGACCACCCGGGGAGAGGTCTTAGGCCAGCAACAAGATCCTCGGCCGTGTCCTCATCGTCAACTCCTCTAAGGACAAACTGTCTCACTACCTTGAACGACGGGATGTGGGCCGTCCACGTTTCAGACTCCGTGATCCAGCCGGAAATTCTCTCAAACCGTTCAACAAACTCATTAGCACAGCTACCTGTAGGAAAGCACACTGAGTATTTGTTTCTACCGATAAGTTTAAGATCAAAAGCATGTTCAAACTGTCTCGTCATAAGACGGTACAACCTCTTACCTAACCCAATTACACTCAACGACGACTGCTTTTTACCTGACTGCAAGTTAGAATCCTGCTCCCCCGGGGAAGAGCCACTCGGCCTACACGTTTCCACGTGAACCAAGAAAGGGCCCCTCGACCCCGGGAAGTACCTGTTACACAACAGCTGTCTCTGGGTGTCTGAGAGGGCCGTCGACTTCCTCTTGGGGAGGAGGTGTCTCTCCTCCTAGAGAGAACCCTCCCCCACCGCAAACTCTCTCTTACCGCTCTTTCTCCCGGGGTTACATAACTCCACTTTACGTGCGATCTTATCCACGATGGATACGCCCCCCGCAGTTACACCTTCACCCCTGTCACGAGAGGTGCCCTCGTCGGTGACAGGACGCGGAGGCCCGCAGGGGGGAGAACCGCCGTTCTCGAGCATCTCAACGTCTGCCTCTAGCTGAGTCTTCTGAGACATGACCCCCTTATCTCAACTTGAGTAGCTGGGCGTAAGGTCGCAACCCACCCGGTCAACAAAGAACTACGAACTCGCACAGACAGTAAAAGGACCGGAAACGCCGGGTCCAGAACACGTCACACACAAGCAGTAAACAGTAACCAAAATCCCGGCGGACGCCGAGACAAAGAACTTTGCCAATATGGCGTCGAGAAGGCACAGACGCGGCCAACCGACGCTAACAGACTTTGTCGTGAAAACGACAATTTGCACGAACAGACAAGCCGCCAAATAGATTTCTCTATCAGAACGGATCGACCTTGTAAATTTTACCCAATTTTACCCACTATGTTTGCCCAGGGCCAACAGGATGGAAAAGGATAGGAACAGCACAACAATAGCGACGTTGCTTGTAGCGCAGTCTCAGCACGAATCCATGTTGAACTATGAGCGTTCTTACGCTAATCACACAGTTTTGGTAGAGTGAGATACTTCGCCAGCGAAACTTCGCTGATAGTTCGACGATGTCCAGGCGCGTTTTTAAGACTGGTAAAACTTCGGTGCAAGGACAAAGATGAGAGGGCCCTTTAATTAATAATAATAATAATAATAATAGTAATAATAATTATTATTATCATTATTATTATTATTATTATTATTTATTAAAGGCAATTGGACAAAAGTTTTTAATGATTTTTTATTTGTATGCAAATTTAGAAACAAACATCTCTTCGAACTTTAACCGACATAAATTTGTTTGCAACATCTTCCAAATTTAAATTAATCAAAACATTTTTTCCTATTAATAATAAAGTTAGATCAAATGTTCTTTCCTGTGTCATGGTACTTCTTAAATAACTTTTAAGTCTCCTTAATACACTAAATGATCTTTCGGCACTCGCAACTCCGATAGGTAATGTTATGAATATTATAAATTTATAAATGTTTATCATGCACCGGGGGCCCGCAAATCCCGGGGCCCGTCGGTGCATCGCACCGGTTGCACCGACGTTAAATACGCCTCTGACGATGTCGAACTATGAGCGTTTTTTCGCTGACTACACATTTTCGACGGAGTGGGGGAATTTCGCCAGCGAAATTTCGCTCCATGAAATTGCACCTTTACGCGCGTAAGACAGCCCGATGTATGCTTATTCGCAGATCTTTGTTAATTAAAATCTCAGTAACTATTGCAAATCTAGCAAAATGGTATAGGACTTTTTACCTCAGTTTTATTTTTTCTACCTGCCTACGAGAGATGTTAAACCAATTCTGGGACACCCTGTATATGTAAAATTTGATACTATAACCTATTACTTTACTTGATGAACATCTCATCACATCCAACTGAGTTCTAAAATGACATTCAAAACATAAACAAACTAAAGCTGTAACGTTACACTAGCTTTATACCACCTCTCAAGGGTGCGTTCAGATTTCTCACTCGGCGGGTGAGAGTAGGGTGAACCGGGAGTGGGCGGAGCTACTAACGGGTGGTCTCGGTAGGCTCGAGAATCTGAACGTATCTGGGGACTGTGAAGGCGCCAAAGCCAAATACAATATTCAGCGACTAAGGGCCTGAGCAGAATAAAGAAAATATTAGGAATAAGAATTAAAAACAGAGGTTAAATGTAATGTACAATGCAAAAAAATAACATATAACATATAAATGTGTATAAATATAAGCTGTATATTATGCAATCATGACATACTTCTTGTATTTATGTAATATTTTATTTTTTGTTATTGTATAGTACATTTAACTTCTATTTCTAATTCTTATTCCTAATATTTTCTCTATAGTGCTTAGGCTCTAACAATGACAAAAAATAAAATATAACATAAATACAAGAAGTATGTCATGGTTGCATGATATAAGAAGTATGTCATGGCTACATGATGTACAGCCTATAGTTATATACATTTGTCACATTTTATTTTTTCGCATTGTGTATTATATTTAACATCTGTTTTTAATTTCTATACTCAATATTTTTTCTAATGTGCTCAGGGCCTAACTTCTACTACTTTCTCAATCATTTTCCGTGACCACGAGCTTGAGATTCATTATTAAAAGTTAAGTGCTCTTTCTCATTTCAATTACAATTCGCGCACTTTTCTTGGCAGCAAAATCTACCCGCCGGCACCCTGTGTTACAAGCAGAGTGCTTTTTTCCCTCACCCGGGTGTGTTCAAATGAAATCTGAACGATACACTCGGTGGCCATCTGAGTAAGAATAGGAGGAATCTGAACGGTGTTTGGGTGGCTCGGGGCACCTGGGTGGGGAATCTGAACGCACCCCAAGGAGGTGTACAAAACGTGTAAATTACGTCATTAAAGTGTACTACACTTTCAAGAAGAACAGCGTGTAATGACGTAACTCAACGTCACTTCCGGCAAGAAAAACGCTAAAGTGTACACTTTACACTAAAGTGTATAAAGTGTATGCAAGAAAAACAGACCTATTGCAAATCTCCATTGTAGACGACCCTTTACGCTTGCGATCGCCAAATGGAACTTATTTCTAGAAACGCAGCTTGAGATTGAAAGAGACGATCAAATACACCATTGAACTAAACCGGAGAGAGAAATAGAATTTTCAAAGTCAAATTACAGCTGCTACGAGCCATTTATTTTTTACTGTGTAAAACTTACGTGATACAAATTCAAAGTAAACGTGAGTGTTTTATCGACAATGTTTCGCAGTTCGACGAATTTCGACAAATTGCTAGGTAACAATTTCTTTCAAGTTCGTAATTTTTTCAAAATGTCGGAACTTACAAAGTTGTCGTTTCGTTAATCTATAACTTTTAGATAAGGCAACAAGCAATTTGCACTTGGAACCAGATTGGCCCACAATTATGCAAATTTGTGATCTTATACGTCAGAGCGATGTTCAGTAAGCAGAATCTTTGTAAAAAAAAAATTACATATTGTAAACATAATTTAATGTAGCATAACGTAAGATTATGATTAGTCACCACACTTACAAATACATTTTTATATTAACTTTTTGTATTGTATGCTTCTGTTTGGTTATTGTTATAGTTATCACAGATTTTCAATATATATTGCTGGTAATAACCAAACAGAATTGTTGTTATTGGTATGTTTCTAAACAGTTTTATAAATTTAGGCCAAAAGTTGCACTTACTGCTATAAGAAAAAAGATGAATAATAGTAATCCACATATAGCCCTGTATGCATTATTGGTAAGATATCTATACAATATATACACATATATGTATACAATAGTAATTTATTGTTATATAAGTTTTTTTTCTCAAAGAGAGAGAGAGAGAGAAAATAATTTATTATTTATTTGTTTTTTTAGGTATTAGAATCTTGTGTAAAAAATTGTGGAACACTGATTCATGATGAGATAGCTACTAAACAATATATGGAGCAACTTAAAGAATTAGTAAAAACTTCTCCTCATGAGAATGTCAGAATGAAAACTTTAGAGCTAATACAAGCTTGGGCTCATGCATTTCGTAACAGTCCCAAATACAGGACAGTTCAAGTGAGATTTATAACTTGCTATGTTATGTTTTGTTACAGTTTTACATATGTAAGAATATTTTTAGAAAATAAGTGCTTATAAAGGAAATGTAATATTCACAATATTCTCTTTTTGGCTTGTGTGTGTCTTGATTTTCTGATGCTGTGCACTTTTCAGGATACTTTAAATATAATGAAGGCTGAAGGATACCAATTTCCCGCTTTAAAAGAAAGTGATGCTATGTTCAGAGCAGATACCGCACCTGCCTGGGCGGATGGTGAAGTATGCCACCGGTGTCGTGTAACTTTCAGCATGGTTCAACGAAAACATCACTGCAGAGCATGTGGTCAAGTTTTTTGCGCGCAGTGTTCGAGTAAGGTCTCTACTCTACCAAAATTCGGAATTGAGAAGGAAGTGCGAGTTTGTGTAGCTTGTTATGAACAAGTTAATAAGTAAGCTTTTGTGATGTGTTTAACTTGTATTGTTATTTGGTGATTTTGTTTTTTAACACTTCAATATTTCTCTAGACCGTCTACAACACAAACCAAAGATACTGATCTCCCAGTAGAATATCTCAAAAGCACTTTGGCTCAACAGCAACAAGTATGTATCTAGATTTTATTGAACAATAAATATCGCGTCTACAACATATGTGACAATAATAATCTTGTACAAAAATATATTTCGCGTTCTCTTAAAATAACATATTGCTATGTGTTACATACATACGCGCACATACTATATTTTAAAAATTATTCATCTAATCAAATTAGTAAGCAAACATGGCTTCTCTGGTACGTCAAATATTTTGTTTCATTTATTATTTAAAAAAATTAATGCATGTACGTTTGTGTATGTGTGTGCGCGCGTGTGTGTAAAAATATAAATGAAAATAATATATTATTATGGATAAATATACAATACACAATATTATGTATACATATAATAATAATTACAAATTGCATATATTTTAAATATTATTTAATGCAACGTGTTACGTATAGTTACGTCGTTATCTTCTTGTAACAAATGTTTTTTTTTTTAAGTAATTGTAATTTTAATATAATTGTTAACAGTTGTATGTGTTTTGTGCATATGTAGCATTTTGTGTTTATATTTGTACAGGTTCCAGTTCGAAAAACAGAAGAAGAACTCCAAGAGGAAGAAGAATTGAATCTAGCCTTAGCTTTGAGTCAAAGTGAAGCTGAACAGAAAGAAAAGGAAAAGAAACGCGCTGCGAGTGCTTTGAAATCTAATACTACTTCCACAGCTAAATCATCGTATTCACCACCACCGTCACCTGTAAGTCGGATGTGTTTACATGACAAAATGACGCTTTGTTACATAGATAATTATTGATAATTAATAATTGTTCTCTGTATAATTTTGTAATAAACTGTCAATACTCAAAGTTAATACTTCAACATATTTGTTCCTAATATGTTTTTACTTAAAACTTTAAATGCACATTGCGATATGTACACCATTTGGTACTTGTTATTAGAGCCCTAGTCCGTTACGAGTGCAAGATGACGACGACATTGATCCCGAGCTTGCTAAATATCTAAACCGCAAGTATTGGGAACAAAGACAAACTGTAAGTGAAGAACATGCATCGAGAACTGACGTGACTAGTCCGTCCGCGCCTAATATAAGTAGCCCAATGCCTCAAAAAATCGCACTTGCAAAACAAGAGAATGGCGAGATCGATACTCAAATGGAAGAATTTGTAAGTGGTCTTAGATCGCAAGTAGAAATTTTTGTTAACAGAATGAAGAGTAATTCTTCAAGAGGAAGGTCGATCGCTAACGACAGTTCGGTTCAAACCTTATTTATGAATATAACAGCCATGCACTCTAGGTATGAAAGTATCAATTTGTATTGTATTTCTAAAACGTGGAAATTACATTTCGTATTAATAACGAAAGATATGCGTTTGTTTATAGATTATTGAGGTACATTCAGGAACAGGATGATAGTAGAGTGTATTATGAAGGTTTGCAAGATAAATTGACTCAGATGAAAGATGCTAGAGCCGCTTTGGATGCACTCCGAGAAGAACACAAGGAAAAGTTGCGGAGAAGAGCGGAAGAAGCTGAAAGACAGCGACAGATGTTAATGGCGCAAAAATTGGCAATCATGCGAAAAAAGAAGCAAGAATATTTGCAGTATCAACGTCAGTTGGCTTTGCGAAAAATTCAAGAGCAAGAGAGAGAAATGCAAATGCGTCAGGAGCAACAGAAGCAGCAATATATCATGGGTAAAAAACGGACAACTTTTCCTATTTTTGTTTTGTTTGAAGATATTCGCATTTCTAAAAGCATATTATTCGTTATTTATAAAATAGCCTATTAAAATTTATTATTTTCCAACATCTGTTTTATTTTGTTTATACAGGAGGTTATCAAGCAGTTTCAGATTATATAGGAGGACCTTCTCAAGGATCGCCTGTTCGTCATGTGCACTATGCGACTCCTGCTAATTATCCTATGTCACCGACAAATCAGGGAGTTTACATGTATGGACAGTCACCTATGGGTCAGTACCCTATGCAAGGCTATAACATGCCACCAATGAATACTCTACCGGTGCATATGATGCCACCGCTTTCTAATCCGGAGCAACAATCGACAGATCCTATTCAGGGACAGGAGAATTTGGGTCGTGTGTCTATATCAGGCCCAGGAATGGTGAGTTAGTTGTTAGGTTATAAAGATTGACAAACGTCTTTTTTCTCTCAAACGGCTTCTTAAACCTGATTTAATAATGATTTTTCTAGATGCCTCCTCAAATGCCGCCTATTCAGCAACTTCAACCGCCGAGCAACCATCAGATGGGTCCGCAACAGGTTCCTTCGGTGCACGTATCATCAGGACAAGCTGCTGCTGCTGCTGCTGCGGCCG